GCAAAATGACAGTATATACGCGATTTAATCGTTTTCTTTATTGCGCAAGAAATAAAGATGAGAGAGATAAACCGATGTCAAGAACAGATAGAGAAGCTCAAGCGCAACATAATGATACCTCTTAGAAGTCCATGGCTTTCTTTTTAAGAAAGATATTTGCAAATGTAAAATATGCTTCAAATGGCTCTTTTATAGCGCAAAATGACAGTATATACGCGATTTAATCGTTTTCAACATTGTGCAAGAAATAAAGATGAGAGAGATAAACCGATGTCAAGAACAGATAGAGAAGCTCAAGCGCAACTTGATGATACCTCATGGGCGGTCGGATACCGGACGGTTAAACGTTTGACTACAGCACTAATTATTATTATTATTACATGTACATAAAATGAGCTGTAAAGGGTACATGAGCATTTGTGTACATCAATAACCCACTTCTTGTAATGGCCAAAATCAAACTGATTGGATCTTTCCACAGCGTAAAACGTACAACCATTCGGAACAATGGTCTGAAAATCAAACTATTACTTACTGGCTCTATAGCTCTTAAGTCGATTCGACAACTAATAGTCATTATTTTCCCACTTAAGAACGTGTTTAAGCCCCCTCTTTTTTAGGCAAGTTCCAAATTAGTATTATTTTTCAAATGCCGTTGGAATTTAACCTTTTCATTTTTTGGCCTGCAAATGGGACATAGTACATGTACCTTTAAGTACACTTATATTTTTTTCCAGCAGTTTTGATAACTTCAGTTCAACATGTTCCGTCCAACGTATTTTGCCACTTTTACTCTTTTCAAACAGCTGCCGTTTAGTGTGACAGAAAAATCATTTACTCCGTTAAGAACTGATCGTTATCCAATAAGCATCACATTTGTCTTATCTGCGTACCCAGTGCACTACTTTGTAGCTACTTGCTCCCTCCATTTAGAAAATGATCCTATTTTCTTATGTTAATTAAGAGCTGAGTTGATGAGATAGCCACCTGTCAGTGACCACCCTGGGAGGTCTAATCCCTCCTAGCCAAACTAGTACAGACGGCCTTTAAGTCAGATAAAAAAAACATGTTTAGCATCCTGCCTTTTTGAAAAATAGGAAGGAGAAGGCCTTTGTTTTCTTCTTCTCTTTCTTCTTCAAAATGGCCGCTCGGTACATTTTCCATGACAGTCGGGCTATTTTTCAAGATGGCCGCCAGCAATTTCATTTAAAAAAAAAGGAAAACAAAATTGGAAAAAATTCCTCTGTAGGGCCATGCATTATGTTCAAGGTATGACCACACAGGGCAAAATGCAATGAATTATTGTTAATTTATTGCATTTTCTTTGTTTTTTTGTATTTGTGGGGGCTGTCCCGTACCATAACCTCCGCTGCGTACAATCATGATTCAGTGGCTAAGCAATGGCCTCGTTACTGTGAGGCCACAGGATCTAAACCGTGTCGATGTGCTATATTAGTGTCCTTTTGTGAGGCATTAATCCTTATTATTATCAGTTATGACTTAAGGACGTAGGGTCCCCAGTTGATTAGGACAGTAGCACACTCATGCTATAGCAGTCACGCAAAACAAACACTCACAAATTATTATTCAATAAAATCTGAGAATGTATTCTATTATCTAGATCTATTAGGATATCATTGTCAAAATTTTTCCATAAATTGGGGCAAAATAATTATTCCACCATTATAACCAACAGTGTATATGAACAATTTATCATCTACAGGTTGTAAAATACTCATCAAGTGAAGAATCCTACAGTGTAATTATCATAATCAGAACTCTTATGAGAAAATATGAGAGAAGATATTTCATGTATTCAATTGTGTCGTTATTAATCCTAAACGTTTAAAAGTTGAAGATTTTAGGTTAATGTCCTACCGTCCTACTTGTAGCTACTTGCTCCCTCTATATAGAAAACTTCCCCAATCGGTGCCTGTTGATCCCCCATGATCCTTTTTTTCTTATGTTAGTTGAGAGCTGAGTTAATGACATAGCCACCTGTCAGTGACCTCGCTGTGTGGTCTAATCCCTTCTGACCCAGTAGTATTGACGGTCTTTAAGAATTGACAAAAGGGATTGAGTTGGAAAAAACTCTTTTTGGTATCACTTGCTATTGCTTGCTAAAATATTAGGCATATTCATATAATCAATATCATGTCGATATGACGAATGCAGGGAAAGGGGGAATATGCCCCATGGAAAATTCAAATCTGATTTTCTTTTTAGGAACACGTTGTGTGCTCAAAAAAACTTTGCTGAAACTTTATTACCAACTTTGAGCCGACAAATCGTCTCCTTGTAAATATATTCCAACTCGTATCTGGACACCTAACCCCTGGACATCCACCTCCGGATAACCCATATGGCTCCGAATAGTCTCATTGGACAACGCCACCTATCGTCAGAGTCCAGCAGCCCAACATGTAAGCCTACTGACTTTTACCAAAGAATCGTTAAAAAATCATTTTTTTGTTAAACGAAAAGCCCATTCATCCCGACGTACGTTGACACTAGCTCTTTCATTGGAACCCTCATGTCCCATTGACTTTTGAAAGTTCACCCACCGTAATTTGGTCAAAATAGGTCGCTAGCTCGCCATTGCCTATATAACACATGTGAAACAAGTCGAAATTTGGACGCAATTTCCCATGCGATTGAAAGGTTATAGGTCAAGCACACGAAGGATAACAAGCATGAATTATCATAGATCAGTTCTGATCGGTTCATTATGTCCATTTCAGCCAACCCCCACCGTAATTTTTCCATTTAGTATAGGCAAGCATTTTGCCGAGGTAAGCGAAAACATGAATATTCATGATCGCCATGGACTATTCGATTATTTACAGAGAGGTGCAATTGTGCACCACATCAAACTCCCCTACTTTAAGTCAAGTATTTCATTGTATTATGTAGTTTGGTAGGTTTATTTTAATAACTGTTTAATTATCAGATATCAATGATAGTTTAAAGATATGGAAAATGTTCTTGTATTTTATATTTAGCAAAGCAATCTCACATATAAATTTACTACCAAGTGTCGTCTAATCCGCCGATTGCCGTCTGCTATATACGTCCAGCGAGCGAAAATGAGACAACCGGAGCAATATGACCCCCAGTCAACTACCCTCTAGGACAACTACCCCCTAGGGTAACCACCCTCTAGGATGACTACCCCCGGGCACCTACCCCCTATACAACTACCCCCTAGGACAACTACCCCTGGATGACTACCCCTAGGACAACTACCCACGGATAGTTGTCCGGGGGTAGTTGTCCTAGAGGATGGTTGCCGTAGGGGGTAGTTGTCTGGGGGTAGTTGTCGGGGGGGGGGGTAGGTGTCCGGTGTAGTTGTCCCAGGGGGTCGGTGTCCGTTCTTTCCCTTTGTAGTACTACTTGTACTTCTGCAAAGATTTTACAATCTGTAGATAACATATCGTTGATATATTCTATTGTATTTTTGTATTGGTGTGGTTTATTGAGATAAAAATCATCGACCATGCAGCAGATAGCTGAAATTGTTCAAGTTACACAGGCAAAATTACATGGCATATAAGTACATGTTCATTAAAAGATAAGGAAAACAATACAAGTGTTGTTACATTTAGATACGATTTATAAGTTTTATTATATAATTGCAATTTTTGGAGTAAAATTAAAAAAACTGATATCAAATAATTTACAGGTTTATTGCAACAATGACGGAGTAGGTAGCCCACGAAGTCTGATAAAGACTGAACAATAAAATTGTTTCCAGCGGCTTTGTTGTCAAATTTTAGCTGATGACCCTCTCCTATCAAAAGCACCTCCTCCCCTCCCACGGTAGCAATTCTTGTACCAAGGATTTTTCAAATATTCAACAAAGTGCGCTTATCTTCAATATGTTTCATAATGCCGGTATATTTAGGGATATAAAATTTATATAGGCAGACAACAGACTCTTAGGAAGCAGCTTACTATGCCGAGCCCTGGGAACTTTGATCTCTTTATCTGAGATAATTTGTTGGGAAAACACTTAAAAAACTTATGCCTTATCAAATCATGACAGGTCGACTAAATCAGTTATTGGTCTGTAAACTATGGGTCTGTGGGAGAAACAGGTCAATCTAATAGCATCAGACATTTACCCCTCTAAACATTAACAATCATACTTCGGCGATCTGCCTTTTGAAATCAACACAATTGAACATTACATATATCGGTACTTAAGGATCCACGCAAAACTTAGGTTTGAACAACGTAGGAAAGATGTTACTGCTATCACAAACTGTAGTTACTAAGCGTTGGTCTAATGTACTCTATTTATTGATGTGGCACTTGTATCAGGGAGGGGAATGGGGAGGGGTGTAGGGTGTCACCAGTCTTACAGTTTGGATTAAAAGCGATATCACAGCCTCGTCGAGTGAGGTCAGGATAACTTCCGTCTCTCCTCATTTACTTTTCTCATTTCACTCCTTTTCTTCATCAGTTTTCATATTTTTCTTTTCTAGTTTTCAATACAGGCCCACATGTCCAGTGCTGATAAAACGAAATTGAATAATCTGAATCGAAGTAAACGGAGTCGTCTGGTTCTAAATTGTTGTTAATTATAATTAATTGAATGATGATTATGATAATTTTTATAATTCAAATCGTGTAAAACTACGGTCATGGTGATGGTCCTAATTGCTATGAAAATATTTTTTATCACGAACAATCAGGTGCAGTCATATCAGTTCCACTCGGTGAGCAAACAATAGATACATGACCCGTCAGAATAGGAGTTTCATAAAAACTAAATAGCTAGTCAGCACTGGCAAGTATTTTGATAAGTCTCATACTATTGTTGATTTACTTATGCTAATAGCGCCTTGATGACTCGGTAAATACAGAGTTGAACGCCATTTGCTTATAAGACTTTGCATTTGTTTGCTTCAGTAATCACAGAAGTTTGCTAATTGTTAAGTGCATCACAAGGCCAAATGAAAACAAAATTAGGGTGTATGGAAGTCAGGTGACATAACTGTATCAATGATGTACGTGCTATTACCACGATTACGAGGAAAAGAAGTCGCTCTTCAGAATTCACCATAACCGTCGACCACTCATATTTTATATTTTGAGAGTTATATTGATCGTCATAAAAAAAAATTGAATTTTAGACCGTGTACAAAATTTAAAGAAGTAAGTACCATGCATGATGGGTGTTCTATTCTGTCAAATTATGTAAGCAATGATGATTGTGTCTGTATTCTATTTTGTTTCGTAGTTACCGCAGTTTATCTTGTCTCGTTGGGTGTCTAGACGATGAACAACTGTATTGTTCAACTAAGTGAACAAATAAACTTCTTGCAAATTTCTTGCATTGTTTTCTCGAAACAGTGTTTACAGGTGTCACTGAATGATATAGTTATTGAATAATTTCTTTTATGATTTTATTATGTTTTCTATTGGACTTGATGATATTCTAAAATGATTTGACACTCACACGTTTTGTGACGTTTCTCCTACTGTAATTGCTAATAATAGTTATTGGCCAAGAAACATATATCGTGCTTCAGCTTATGCAATATTTTTCAGATTTTTTTTTTTTTTTTTTCACAGAGGAAGCACGTCATAATATTGAAGATGGCGAGGGTTTCGTCCAATAAGTTGATTTGTTGGGGTGTGACCGGTGCGATCATGGCCAGTATCGGAATCGTTCTCATTCCCGTCACAGATGTCGTCATTTTAAAAGTCTTGGAACAGGTAAGTTACAAAACAAGCTGCCCTATTTTATTAAATAAGAAGTTACTCTAGCAACTTTATAGAACGGGTTTGACGCAGTAGAAAGGAATGTCTTTTTTTCTTTTTAGATCTATGATCAATCTTTGCTATTTTGTTTTTATAGTAACGTAAAAAACTTGATGATACAAAGGATTGAAGACACTATATATACCATTTAACGTTATAAGCTGTGGTGAATGGTCGTGCTATAATGTTGACGAACAGACATAATATTATGCTCTCTCAACCATTTCCTGTCAGCTATACATGTTTTGTCGTTTATATTATTTGCTGATGATTCTTCAGTGTTTTTCTCACATAAAAACCCAATTCACTACTTGAAACTATAAATCTTGAAATGGAGCTTGTTGAAGAGTGGATCTGTGCTAACAAACTTTCCTTGAACTTAAATAAAACTCAATGTATGCTCTTCAGCAACTCTATTTCGGGATTGCCTGGCAATGTTTACATTAATAAAACAATTATAAACTTAGTTGATTCGTAAAAATTCCTTGGTTTTATCATTGACAATAAACTTTCTTGGAAAGAACACAACTTACATTTAAGTAAAACACTATCAAGGAACATTGGCATAATCAATAAATTAAAAATGTCGTTTCCTATTAATATATTTTGAAAAGTTTGGACTCAACGCTTATCTTGCCTTATCTTAACTATGGCATACTTGCGTGGGGTAATTCGTTTAATTACCAGTTGGACAAATTATTGATACTTCAAAAACGCGTCATACGAATAATCTGCCACACTAATAGGTTAAGCCACACTAATAGCTTATTTTTAGAAAATAAAATATTGAAAGTTCATGACTTGTATAATTTCTTTTTAGGCTGTTTTATGTTTCGATTAAATTCTAAGGAACTTCCTCATGCCATCTCGTCGACATTCAAAAAGAATCAACAACTTATCCAACCCGACAGTCTTCCTTTTTTCACTTTCACAAAATGAGAACCTTACTAAAAAAAAAAAACTTTGATTTATACTGGTCTGGTGTACTGGAACTCATTGGACATATCGCTCAAACAGCTGCCAAGTTTAATTACGTTTAAATATCACTTGAAACATAAACTTCTTCTTCGGTATGAGAATGTTTAAGGTCATCATGATTAGAGACCACACACCCGTTTTTGTTCCTTTTTTTTAATATAAATTATGTTACGAACGTATTATGTAAAGGGAACCTTAATTACAAGCATAATGCTTCCAAGGTTTCCTCCTCATTACTGCAGATTATTTTTAGCATCATTTGTATTTAATGACTTGCCATTAAATCGTTTTTATTACTGTTGTATCTATCAAATATTATGTACATATTTTGATACCTTGTCTATACCTTACTTTGTAAATTCTTTTCATATGCAGTTAATGTAGAAATAAAACCTAAATATTTTTTTTTTTAAATACAAATACCTGTATATGTGAGGATGTTGTAATCCCAAAATCTTTATCCCTCACTCACCTCCTTCATATCTTCCTCTTTCTTTCCCCTTTTCTTTCATCCTTTTCTTTCTCCTCTCTCTCTCTGTCTCCCTTTCTCTTTCTCTGCCCATTTCTCTTTGTCTGTCTCTATCTGCTCCCTCCCTTCTCCATCCCCTCTAATTCTCTCTCTTTCTCTCTCTCTCTCTCTCATCGTCTCTCACCGTCTCTCTCTCCCCCTCTCTCTCTCTCTCTCTCTCCCTCTCTCTCCGTCACTCTCTCTTCTGCTGTCCCCTCTCTCCCCACCGTTCTCTCACTCCTATGTAACAGGAGGGAATCATTGTCCCCAGCGCCCTGGCCTACCCTCTATGGGAAGAGGTCCCTATCCCAATTTATTTCCAGTTCTGGTTCTGGAACCTCACCAACCCCGAGGAGTACTTACAAGGTGGACCAGCCAGACTAGTAGAGCTGGGACCTTATACCTACAGGTGGGTAAACCTCGGACAAAGGAATGTATATAGGCCTACATAATCACCGTTATCCCACCCCCTCTCTCTTTCTCTCTCGCTCTCTTTCTCTCCAGCTTTCTCTTCCTCTCTCTTTCCCTCTTTCTCTTCCTCTTTCTTTCCCTCTTTCTCTACTTTTGTCTCTCCCTTCCTCTCTCTCTCAGGCACCATATTCTTTTTTGTTATCATAAAGAGACCTATGTACATGTATTTATTTTTAAAGATTATTATCTGGTTAAAGGTATAACAAAGTTTTGGGAAATTTTGAAAAATGGGTGGATAGGGATTCTTTACAATTTTGATATATTTGGATACCCCTGTGGATGCATTAAAAACACCAGAAATTTTAGCCCCTAAAACCTTTCTGCTTTCAAGAAAAATTAAATATAAAGATTTACCGGTGCTCCCGGTGAATTTTGATAAATTTCAAATAGCTCCTACGGCCGTACAATGGTAGCTGTGACCATGAAAATCTCAGAATATGTAGTTGTGCTATATAATTTCCGAACAAGAATAGCTAATCGGTTGATTTTAGTCAATAAACATTGTTGTATAGCTTAATTAATATCTTGACCTTGAGAGGGAGCTATTCAACATAAAGTGTTTATTATTTACAATTTCATAACTTTAGAGGCGATTTCGACCGCGACAACGATCACTAAATATTGTAGGATCGTATATGCTTCCAATATATTCATTTGAACCAAATTCATGACCCCATACCAAAACTTTGTATTACCTTTAACCAAAATGTCTAACTCAATACATCAATTGATTTTTTTTTTAAGGAAAATCAAAAAAGGTATCAGTTTTCAAAAATATCACAATTTTCCTCCTTTTTACTTTTTGACACCCCATTCAAATTGGTCTGGCGACTCCCCTGAAAATGTTGACAATTAGGTAACAAAATTTACTTGTTGGACATCGATCTCTTTCACACTCTTAATCAAGCATATGGCTTTCCATTCATACATTTAAGTGATTATACAATTAATGATATATGTAATAATAATAATAATATTTAGCTTTTATGATGACGATGTATCTCTATAATTATCAAATAAAATCTAAATAAAATCAAACTCTTTAATTTCTCAACCACACACCAGGGAGTATCGTCCGAAGGTAAACATAACTCATTACGATAACCGGACAGCAAGCTACCTCAACATGAAGAGTTTTGTCTTTGATCTGGAGATGTCTGTCGGTCCCGAATCAGACACCTTCACCGCAATCAACGGTCCTGTCTTTGTGAGTAAGATACATGACTGTGGCAAATGAAGGACATACTCCTAATACGTACTTACAAGTCGAGTCCTTCTCAATTTCCCATCCAAATGGCACCTGATAATCTGATAAATTTGGCATATGTGTCTTTATTTTTGCTAGTCCGAAATCTTTATGTGTAGATTGCAACCTGAAAATTTGATGACCTTTCCTCTCTTTTTGATTTGTCAAAATTTGGTACTGACTTCTGTGCCTCTCCATCCTGCAAAAACATAGATCCTCCCCTTCACAGTGGATTTTGGATGAGTAGAAATGGCATCTTCCATGTTTTTCACTCGATGTTAAAAGGTCCACGGAGCCAAAACCAAGTTGTTGAACATTTTGTCCCATGAAAACTCATCACTTATCTGAACTCAATTTTAAATTCGGGGTGGTATTTTTGTTTAGTAAATTCTTATCTCGAATCACAATGAAAAACTCAGTCCCTTATCGAGTATGCATAATACTCAGAAACGTCACAGTTCTTTAGTAGTCAAGTTTTGAACCATCAGCGTTCCTTTCATTTCATGACATTTCCTCTTAACCTCATAGACTATTGCCCACTGGCTCAAGAACGCCCCGGACTTGGTGCAGAAGGCTTGGGAGCTCATTCACGAGCTTTCCAAAGCAGATGTCATCATAGAACTGTCAGTGGATGGCTTCGTCTGGGGCTATCCGGACAAGTATTTGGAACTAGCCCAAAGGATTCTTGGTAAAGAAGTCATTCCTTTTACCAACTTTGGGATACTAATGGGGGTAAGCGGTTTCCGTTGTGTTCATATTGTCTAGAAGTCGCCGTTTCTCTTTTCACAATCTGTCATTGCCCATCCTGTGTTTTTCTCACTGTTTCAATCTCTCTGTCTGATTGCCTGTCTTTCTCCTTTTGCCCTTCGCCCCTTCCCACTTTTCCTTTCTCTCTCTCTCTGTCTCTCTCTATTTCGCGCCCTCTCTCTACCTCTTTCTCCCCCTCTCTCTCTTTCCACGTTCTTTAATCCCACACTGGTCTACCAATTTCAATTAATTATTGTCAGTACTCCTTCTCGCTCTAAGTATATCCTGCTCTCTCTCTCTCAGTACAATACTGGTCATGATGGTATTTTGGTCGAAACAGGTGTCTGCCCCCATCTCTCCTACCAGTTTCATTTGTTTATTTATCATCCCTTTTCGCTTTATTCCATCTCACTCTTTTATTACAATAATAGTTAATATGATGGACATCTCTTTTGTGTATACCGATGATTGTTTCTTTCTCTCTGTCATTTTCATCCTACCTCTATTGAAACGAGTGTCAGTTTTATTTAAAATTAATAACAACTAGAATTTAATTTGTCACGAGGACGAATAAGGTGGTCTGTCTTCAAGTCTTATAATAGATTATAATATTTACTATATTGAAAAAGGGAGAAGTTATATAGATATGTAAACAATGATGATCATCATGATGATCATCATGATGATGATCTTGATAGTAATGGTGATGACGATGTTGATGATGATGATGATGATCATGATCATGATGATGTTGATGATCATCATCAACAGACCATGATGACATCTGATTGAAAAAAATGAGGAGACATTTAGATAGCATATAGTCTCAGCTACAACATACTCCAAAATCAACAAAAACCAAGCGGAAATAACGGCGATATTGCTCGCAAAAGACAGGAATGAAGAATCCAGATTTGAGAAAAAGTCATCTCCCATAGGGACTACACTAAAAAAGTAATGGATCAAGTGATAATAGGGGAATAATAAAGTAAATATATTTGTTTTTAACATTATTTGTGATTCTACGTGTTTTAATAAGCAAAGGAAAAGGTACAGTGAAAGGTCAAAAAGAAAAAAAAAGGTGAAGAAATTTTTTTTTTTGAGACGCCCGGACTCGAACCAGGGACCTCGAGGTCGGAAATCAAGTGCGTTACCGATGTACCAAAACATTTCCCTTAGAGATTACACGTAAACGGAAAATGGAATTATCAAATGGAAGTATCAAATAAAAATCAAATGAAAATTCGTGAGAACTAGATTTGTAGAAAATTGTCTCAGCTAGAACATATCAAAATTTGGAAGACAATCGATCAATTTTTACAAAGATACAATCAATTTCCAAAAATATGCTGACGTCATAATATGCAAATTGGAATTTTGAGTTCGGAGGCCATTTTGATGACGTCAGAAGTTAATTGAGGGTCAAATGAGACATGAAAAAATATCTCCGAATCATACTCTATTAAAATATGAAACAAAATTGGTGTCACCTTGCATCCTAAAGAGCTACAATGGATTTTGTATAGGCATGTTTTTGCCCATATATGCTATGTATTACAAGAGCTCGCGCGCACGGAAATTGTTGTTAAACGGTCGATCATTCCGTTATTAATAGTCATAAAGACACAAACATGGTATCAATTTGTTTGTAAATATATGTGGAATATTATGAAAGAAAAAAAATGGCGATTCTATGTTGTGCAATAGTTTAACGCGCGAAAACGCGCACGCATACGCGTGTGCGCGATTTTTTATAAAATGCTTAGAATGGCCTAAAACGTATGCAAAATGATTTTGAGACGATTTTGAGCATTTAAAAATTTTGCACGCGCATTGACGCGCGGACATACGCGCACGCGCGTGTTATTTGACCTGAAATTGACCGGACGGATATTGACCTTGATCATGATAAATATGAATGAGAAATAGCTTTTGGTTATGAAGATATGATCATGAGTTGTTTTTCGTAAAATTTTACAAAATGGCGCCTAGATGACGTCATCAGTAAAGGTCAATGTTGAAAACATTATTGTGCTTTGTACATATGCCTATACATATGTGTGCCAAATTTGAAGGCATTTGATTGAGCCATTTTCAAGTAATCGTGCTTACAAAAAAGTAGTTAGATGTAAGAAAAATAAATAAATAAAGGCAATTCTAACGAAATTATAAGGTGGTCTGTACGTTATACAGCCCACCTGATAAAGGCAATTCTAACGAAATTATAAGGTGGTCTGTACGTTATACAGCCCACCTGATAAATAAAGGCAATTCTAACGAAATTATAAGGTGGTCTGTACGTTATACAGCCCACCTGATAAATAAATAAACTAGATTTGTAATACTTGTTTGGAACAAGTATAGGTGGGCTGATCCAACAAAAATTGAGACAAAATGAAGGGTACATTTGAGATAGCTTTTTGTCTCAGCTATAAAATACTCGAAGTTCAGCGTAAATGAAGCTAAAACGACGTAGATATTGCTCGCGAAAGACGGAATGTAGAATCAAGTTTTGAGAAAAAGTCATGTCCCATAGAGAATACACGCAAAATGTGAAAAATTGACATGCCTCCTTAAATCGCAAAATACGCCATGATGCCTTTGTCAAAATGAAAAATTGTGCCAACTGGTGTATAGAACTGTCTCACCTAGAACATATCAAAATTTTGAAGAAAATCGATCAATTTTTACAAAGATACAATCAATTTCCAAAAATATGCTGACGTCATAATATGCAAATTGAAATTTTGAGTTCGGAGGCCATTATGATGACGTCATGAGTTAATTGAAGGTCAAATGAGACATGAAATCATATGTCCGATTCATACTTCATCAAAATATGAAACAAAATAAGGGTCACCTTGCATCCTAAAGAGCTACAATGGATTTTGCATAGGCATGTTTTTGCCCATATATGCTTTGTATTACAAGAGCTCGCGCGCACGGAAATTTATCTTTAACGGTCGATCATTCCGTCATTAATAGTCATAAAGAGATAAACATGGTATCAATTTTTTTGTAAAAATATGTGGAATATTATGAAAGAAAAAAATGGCGATTCTATCTTGTGCAATAGTTTTACGCGCAAAAACGCGCACGCATGCGCGTGTGCGCGATTTTTATAAAATGCTTAGAATGGCCTAAAACGTTTGCAAAATGATTTTGAGACGCGCGGACGTACGCGCACGCTCGCGTTATTTGACCTGAAATTGACCGGACGGATATTGACCTTGATCATGATGAATATGAATGAGAAATAGCTTTGGTTATGAAGATATGATCATGAGTTGATTTTCCGAAAATTTTACAAAATGGCGCCTAAATGACGTCATCAGTCAAGGTCAATGTTGAAAACGGTATTGTACTTTGTACATATGCCTATACATATGTGTGCTAAATTTGAAGGCATTTGATTGAGCCATTTTCAAGTAATCGTGCTTACAAAAAAGTGGTTAGAAATAAGAAAAAGATATAATAAATAAAGGCAATTCTAACGAAATTATAAGGTGGTCTGTACGTTATACAGCCCACCTGATAAAGAATAAATAAATAAAGAAAGAAAGAAAATTCTAACGAAATCAATAGGTGATCTCTCATAGACAGACCACCTAATAAAGAATAAAGAATAAAGAAATAAAGAAAGAAAATTCTAACGAAATCAATAGGTGATCTGTCATCGACAGACCACCTAATAAATAAAGAATAAAGAAAATTCTAACAAAATCAATAGGTGATCTGTCATCGACAGACCACCTAATAATAACTACATTAATGAGGCGCTTAATACAGGCGTTTCTAGGCGCACAGGTGGTACTGTATAATTCAGTTTAATTTTCAACATGGTCAATAGCTTAAAAGCAACAAAATAAAATATTACTAATACTAATTACTAATTTATCTCTCTAACTCTACCCTGCTCTTTCTCAGACCCGACAAAAGTGATGATGGTATTTTGGTTGATTCAGGTGTCCCTCCCCCCCCCCCCCCCTCTCTCTCTCTCTCCCTCTCTTCATTCTCCAACCAGTTTCAGTTATATATTTAACTAATACTCATGCTCGTATCTCCTGATCTTCTTTTCCGTACAAGTGATGGTGTTTGGTCGGCGCTTAACGGTGCCCCCCCCCCCACTTCCCCCAAAAGTGATGATGGCACTTTGGTTCATTCAGTGTGTTTGCCTCCCCCTTTCTCTCTCACTCTCTCATTCTCCAACCAGTTTCAGTTATGTCAAGTTTCAAGTTTTACTGTTCCACATTTTACAGAAAATATAGACATACATATATATAATAAAAATTATACAATTCAATTGTAGGATAAATGAGCACATCTCAATGATTCTCAATTCATATAATAGATTAAGTAGAATGTGAGGAACCTATTAAAAAGCAGTGCTTGTATAATATAGGTTCCTGGAAAAATAAGTAATGTAGATGAAAAACAGTAGCAGTAGAGAAAGACGTAATTTAGAGGAGAGAACTTACAACACACAAAAAGGGACATTTGTATACAAAATAATGCATCAGCACCAATACCCAGAGTCACCCGGTTAAAATGCGTAGTCATCCGTGCAATTTAGTAAGCATAGCACAAAGTGATTAGTTTAATATGCATCATTAATGAACAATTAAGATTAGCATTGCAGAAAAAAAGTACTGTGGGGACGGCAAACAATTGTATTAGATGTAAGAATTTAAAAGAAAAATTCGAAGTTTGCATTTAAAGGTACTATGTCCCATTTGCAGGCCAAAAAAATGAAAAGGTTAAATTCCAACGGTATTTGAAAGACAATACTAATTTAGAACTTCCCTAGAGAAAGGGGGGGGGGGCTTGAAAATGTCTTTAAGTGGGAAAATAACGACTATTATTTTTCACATCGACTTAGTAATAATAGTAAGTAATAGTCTGATTTTTCAGACCATTGTACCGAATGGTCGTTCGTTTCATGCTGCACAAAGATTTAATCAGTGTATTTTCGGCCATGACAAGAAGTGGGTTATTGATGTAGACAAATGATTATGTACCTTTACAGCTCATTTTATGTATGTTATTACCAAAGATGAAAAAGGGTCAGTCAGTCACTCAATGGTGTCTGACAGTGAAGTCTAGAAAGTAAACGGGTTTCCTTGCATAATTTGAATATTGGGACGCTGCTAACGTTTAAATTTCACAGATAGAGCATACATGACATATTCATAATTCCTGCACAGTTCTACAGAATTTGATGTTGGCTGCAAAAGGGACATAGTATCTTTAAAGCAATTTAACGATGGTGCTTTCTTAACCTCCGAATCCAAACCATTCCAAAAAGAGGGACCGGTATACATGATTGTTTTGGGGGCAAAAACTGTCCGGATTGGGGGAGATTGAAATGGTCTATTTGTCTTTTGGGATAGGAGTAAATAACGCTGTTCAAAGCGAACATAGGGGGAATATATAAATTTGCAAATTATCATTGCTTAGCTGATACATGAAAATTCAGAGGAAATAAATGTATAAATCAGGGACTTTCAGAAAACGATTTGCAAGAAATAAAATTTTGTGTGGGCCTGGAAATCTGCCAGATTTATTATTCTTATTGCTCTCTTTTGGATCATAAAAATTGATCTTTGTTATTGAACAATTTCCCAACGCTAGCACCCCGAAATTTAGATCCGGTAGCGACAGAGTTGAATATAATATTTTTAAGACATGAGATGCAAAAAAAGATTTCAACTTTAGTATTTATTACACCTACGTTCCTAGACAACAGTTAGCATAAATGATCAATTTGAGTTTTCAATCAATAAAAAGACTAAGAAATTGAGTGGAGTTTATCTGGGTTAAGGGTAATCCATTAACCAAAACTGGTAGCTGACATAGTGTATTGCTGAAAATCATATAATTAGTTTTTTTCAGATTCAGGGATAATTTGTTTGCTTGTATCAATTCAACTACAAAAGCAATTCAAAAATCAAGAAGAATTCTATAGGATCGGGATGTGAGCAAAAAATGCTTGAGTCGTCTGCAAAGTGTAGGAACGAAAGAACCATGAATGAATTTATGAAATCTTTTATATAGATAATAAAAAGAAGCGGGCCAAGAGAGCCTTGTGGTACCTTACAAGTTATTGATCAAATACTTGTGTTACAATCATTAATAGAGACAAATTGGGTTCTGTTGGTAATAGTTAATAATAACTAGCTCTAATTTTCTCCTTCATGATCTTCTTTTGAGAACAAGTGATGGTATTTAGTCGGCGCTTAATGGTGCCCCCCTCCATCTGTCTCCCTTTCTTACTCCCTTTCTGTAATTCTTAAAATCCCATCTTAATTGATACCACTATATATTCTATCTTCCTCTATCAGTATAACAACAGTGATGATGGCTTTTGGTCGGGTGTATACCGGTGAAGATGATCTTATGATGCTCAATCAAATGGATATGTGGAACAGGGAGAAGTTACTACCTTGGTGGACTACAGACTACGCCAATGCCTTGAATGGAACAGGTCAGTAATATTGGTGACAGTGGTACTGAAAATAGTGTTAATTATTAAAATAATAATAATCAACCAATGAGAAACATATAGTTCTACTAATTAGGCTTGATAAGGAACAATGAAATAAGAGTTTGCCTTTCGAACATTTCGCGGTTCTTTTTCATACTTTGCCAATTACACTATTATCCGATACACCCGATTTTTCATAGACTCTTGTCTGTTTACTTTCAAAAGAGGATGCAACCAACATACCCTTAAAAACACCCCCAAAATTAATGGTGATAATATCGATAATAATTTTTAAAAATCAAACAAGAATGACGACAACAGTAGTAATAATAATAATAATACAAACAATAATAATGATGGTAATAATAAAAGAAGAGGAAAAAGAAGAAATAAAGAGGAAGAAATATTATAATTATGATTATGATAATAATCATTACATTCATACAGCGCTTTATACTAATTTCTCTGTGCGCTTTACTACTATTACCCCGGTTTTAACCGAATTACCCTGAAAGGCGCCCTGCCCTGGCATTCAAGGAATTTATCTTTCCGGGTACCCATTTATTTCAAGTGGGTGGAGAGTGGTAAATGGACACCAATGTTTTGCCAACTAGTGCCATATCAGTGATTCGAACTGCATACCTTGCGATCCATAGTCCGATGACATACCCACAAGACCGGCCACAACACCTTCAGGTACCCGTCATATGGAAACGTTTGCTTGTATTTGTCTCATAAAAGAATTTGATCACAAACTGACTCCCACACGGTGCTGACTGTTGAGTACTCAGGGGTCACAGGCCACTGGCTTCATCGGGCAGGTAGTTCCATTATGTGAATGGGTAAATTAACTATTACAAAATGAGGGGACTCATTACATTGTACAATAGGGACACACATTGTTTTTATTGTGCAGAACATACTCTTTTATTGACTTACTTATTGCATGAAACTATAAAACCAAATTGCATTTTGTATTCTAACAATAATTGGAGTAAAAAGAATAATAACAGGTGAATGAAATGCATAAACACCACAAACACCTGGGGAGGAAGCATTCATAAATTTGAATACATATAGTTGATAAACGACTCCGATGAAACTATAAAACCAAAATGAATTTTGTGTCCTGGCAATTGGAGTACAAAAGAATGATAGCAGGTGAATGAAATGCTTCAACAGCAACACAACACATGGGTAGCTAAGGAGCATCCATAAATTTGAATAATTTAGTTGATAAACGACTCCGCATGTGGACGTTTGTTGGAGCAGAAAGCAGTAGATTCTTAACAACACGAACCCATTTAACAGAATGTCGGAACATCAATTAAATTTGGCGCTGTTGGAAAATGCATCTTTCTACCCTGCGACTTTATGGTACGATCCAGTAAATTAAAACAGTAAAATGGCTCTTATTTTAAAAATACTCATTAAATAAAACCCAAAACTTCAGTGATATCAGAAAAAAATATGTTAAATCTTACTAATAGTTAAAAAAAAGATGTATAAACATTGTGAAAGTGTCGCATTTTACGATAAAAGACGCCGATTTGGCGAAGATGACGTCATTAGTGCGCTTGCATCAGGGAATTCAAGGTCAAAAGGTCAACTCAGACACTGATAAGTTATTGGTCGAGCCTTTTTGTTTCCTTTATTCCGACAAAATTATACAGTCAATCAAAACATGTTTAATACCAGAAGAAAGCTAACGATTAGTATTTTCATTAACCGCTCGCCCCAAAGTCGCTTGACCACAGTGAAACGAGTGAGAGCATGCGAGAGCGGCCAAAGTGTGATTGAAACTCGCTATTTGCTCTTCTCTAACGCAAAAAGAGACGGCTTTGTGCTGGATAAATGTATTTTTTCCAACAAAAGTACAGAAAATTTGCATATGGTCTTTCTATATTATACTTTATGAAATGTTACCCGAGTGAATTCCGGGCGCCCCAATGCTGGAAAGAGACGCACATTTTAGAAAACTTCACTTTTTCATGGAAAAATGCTTATTTGTTCTATGCACGCAAGTCAGATTGAGCGGATGATACAACGTTTCCATATGGGCGTCTCCGCCTAGATAAATATAGTAGTTGTCAAATATTATTATAGACTATTATTTTCTCCACATTTCAGATGGGACGATAATGCATCCATTCGTAGATAAAGATGAAGAGGTGTATGTTTACTCTACCTATGTGTGTCGGTAAGTCTAACAACTCCCTAGGGAATGGAAATCAGCTTTTGTGATTTTGTCTTGATTAATTAGGGATCCCTTTGTTTTTGAGTGGAAATTCACGCTCATATTAGTGGAATCCACTCCCAAAGATATGTTAACCACTACTTTGGGATGGATTCCACCTAGTTAACTTATGGAGTGGAAAACAAGGTGATTCTTAGAGTGGATTTTAACTTCTCTGCATTAAAAGAAAAAAATGTTCATGAATCACTGTCCAAGTTTAGCGTTCATGACAAGCATTTGATATTACATTCCTCAAATTGTACAGAAGCTGCATCATAAACGAGTACAAACCCATTATACAAACTATGTGATGCTGTGATACAATTGTAACCCGTACGAGCTCTCTCAATGAAAAGATAAATAGAGGAGGTGGTGTGGGAGTGTGGTTTCGCGGAATAACTGATTTTCTTTGAGCTGTTATTTAAATATTTAAGCAAAATTTTGTTTGAATAATTTGCAGATCTGGCTTGTTGGTGTTTAAGGGATACCGGGAGTTTCGTGGTATATGGTTGTATTACTTTAGTGCACCAGAGTACCTGTATGCCAATGCCAGCATCTACCCCACTAACATCGATTTCTGCACCCCTGATCAGACCACCTGCCCCCCTACAGGATTGATCATGTCAGTGAATGCTATTTTCGTAAGTAAAAATTAATATTATGTGGCCTCATTTGCCCAGAGTAGCTATATAAGTATCAATACTGCTGTTCCTTCCTATTTCATTATAATTTCTTCCCTTTACTGTTTCAGTATCATTGCTTTATTTCGCTACTGCTTACCGGATTCTTTACTTGACTGATTCGTGATTTTATCATTTAATTATTATGATTATTTTTTGTTTTAGTATTATTAGTATTGTTTGTTGTTTTTGATTTTGTGTATATTTATTTTATTCATTTGTATCTGGCAATAAATAAAAAAAATAATAATTCAGGGGAAAACAAATGTTTTACAAGTTGAGATAATGCAATCTCTGGACGCCAGGGATAGAGAAAAAAGTTATCGTAACTAGGGCATAAAGCTCCCTTCCAATAATTTTTATGTGCGATTGACGTGGTCTTTATAGAGAGCTGATTACCATGATAAACTCTTTATCAATCGAACTAGAGCAAAGTAATTATATGAAAACATAACAAACAACAATGAATGCAAATCATTACTTAGAGCAGTATATGTCGAGAGTGATCCGGCGGGCGACAAAGTAATATCTTTTGACTAGC